CTTGGAAAGAACTACGGCGTCTTCCCGTCTTCCTATGTCCAGAAACTGTAAGTACTCTCTATCCTCAAATCAAAGAGCATCACCGTCAAATTCCATTCTTCTTACGGCATCCATGTCCAATTTGTTCTTTTGCATAGTGATTCCGACTCGGAAGTCCACCTTCTCGAAGTCATTGGTCAAGTGCGGGCCAAGTGGGATTTTTCAGCCAAGGACGAAGGCGATCTGTCGTTCAAGCTCGGGGACACGATCAATGTCGTTGGATATGGTAAGAATAAGAGCCTCTAGTGGCCTTGTAGCCTAGTGTTTTTCCTAGCCTTGTACTAATCATCCATGTTATATGATTACAATAGAGAATGATGACTGGTGGCGTGGAGTTTCGGGAGGAAATGTTGGTGTTTTCCCAAGTAATTATGTCCAGAAACTGTAAGTGCGCACGTACTTTTGACGCGAGAGCAAAATGCATCCTTCTCATGATTGTATCCATATCCGCCTGACTTCTGTTCCTGCTCACAGCAAACCGCCAGCGAACGGAGTTTATCCGTCCGTGGTCGTATTTTCGCGTGCCACTGCCATGGAAGCACCATTGATCGACCTGGGACAGCAGCAACAGCAGTCTTCTCCACCTTCAAAGGACGCCTACATACCCCCTCCAGAACAATCGCACTATCCTTCGCCCTCGTCGTCCAAAGATGCGTACATCCCGAAGAATCCTCAGCAATTGGCGCAACATCCTTCATCCCCGCCATACACCGCTCCGGTGGGTGCATCTCAGAGTCCTCAACAATACGATACAAAGCGTCCACAGGCTCCACAATACATACCCCCACCCTGTCTGCCTTCGTTACCACCCCGGGCTCCCCAATACCGAGAACCCATCCCTCAGACACCGCACCTCTCTCAACGCGCACCTCAGTATCATCCAAAATAGTGCGGGATGATGGGGTCTATACCCAGAAAATAAATTGCTTAGACAAATCTACAATTAACTCACTCTCTCAGTTTGTTCTTACCACGCCCAATGTTTATGTTTACATGGACACAAATGCCTCCATTTGCCCAGGAAAGGGAACACTGACAAACATTTTTTCCCGCATGAAAATAATGCACCGACAGGTGCCCAAAGGCTGTTGAGCGATCCAAGCGTTCGACTGTTTGATTGTTATTTGTTTCTGTGGATGAAATGGTAGGGGCAGAATCAAAG